AACAATTTTTTGATTTGCCATGTGAAAGAAACAATTGTAGTGTGGTGATTGATGCTATGCACTCTTTTCCTCTTAGGCAATTTGTGGGTTCAACTCTCAGCTCTTTATTTTTTCATCCGTTTCTAAATATGTATGTGCTTGGCATAATGGTATCTTTGTCATTACTTATTTTCGACTGCTGCACTTGGCTTATCATTTTCAGTGTTTGGTGATATAGAATCTGTTATAATCATAGAAAATAGAACCTGTCATAATTAGTTCTATGATGTATCTAGATTCATGGTTGTGGACCATCTTTTAGTTTTCAGAATTGAATCCCTTGGTGGGAATTTTTTTAATGGCCACATAAAAATATGTATCTGTCATATTTTTGTTATATTTTTCTATAAATTAAGATATGGAATTATCATTCTAAATTGAAGTCCTGCTTAATTTCGGAGATTCTAAATGTGGTGTTATTGTCAAAACCACTTTCCATTTTTAACCTTTGGATTTCTGCTGTTTTCAGCTTTTGAAATTTTTGTAAAGGACAATTACATCTGAAGCTGCCACAAGTGCAGTTGACAGAGGACGCCGTGCTCGCTACTTGTTAGATGACTTATAGAAGTTGAAGGTATCATATACAATGGATGGTTTGTATTTACAATCCAATAAACCTATGTTCAATTAGTTTAACTTTCATCATCTTCCTATGTTGGCCTTTGAATATATCGGGCTCATTTTGGCAGCTTTACGGTGGCTCCTTAGAAGTTTTCAGGTCAAGCAAATGTATGTAGATATTTCCTTTTCAGTATCCTGTTTTCTAGTGTCATCATGGAACATTATCCTTGGCTTTCCACTTTTTTCTAAAATTCAGTTTGATAATTAGTTTCAGAATTGTCAGACATATTTCATGACTTTTCCTGCTTAATTATTGTCTTTCAAATTAAGATATATAGCTTGTACATTGGCAAGCTAGGATGGAACATTGATGTTCCCAATTCAGCTGCAGGTGAAAGCATGGTGATATTTAAAGGTTGTTTATGTTGATTGGAAGCCACTTAGGTGATTTTTGGATCAGGGATGCATCTCTGGTTGAGTTCTTTTTGGTATCTGGCTTAGAAATGACCAGATGCGTTTGAGCCTTTGAGGTCCTATACATTTAGAGAAATACTTTTAGAGAATACTTAAATATCAGATTTGGTTTTGACTTGTTGAGTTTTAATCGACCAAAATGCACGCTGAAGAAGGGTTGTTTGATGCTTCTGAAATGTATTAATTGCTTATAATTAATAACCCTGAATGACTGCTTAAAGAAGTTCTGTATCAGAACATTTTCTTCTCAAGATTTACATGCATAATAGAATACAACGTTCATGACCGTTTCAAAAACAAGTGCCAAAGAGTACATGGATATCAAGACCGGTATTTCCCACATACAGATGCCCATGCACATTCTCAATTCAAATAAACACTCAACTAGCCTAAAGCCCATGTTACTTAGCAAAGCCATAACTAAGGCTGTTTGCCGTCTTCCTTCCACAAGATTTTTAGCTTTCCATAGTGAATCAAGTCCGTAACATTCACTCTCCAACACTGATATAACGTTTGCCATGTTTCCCACGACCATTAAATGTGCAAAAATCACACAGAAAGGTATGCCTAGGAGCCCTAGTACACCCCAGAATCCTAATGCTGTTGAGCAGATTCCCAACCCGTACAGTATCTTTGGTGCTGCTGCTAAACCACCAACCAACCCTCCAAAGAGGCCAAGTATGATAAGGAGCTCCCAGGATCTTGTGTGGAGAAGCTTAATCCAAGCCAAACCGCTTCTCATTAATAGCCTTCTTCCATCAAGATTTATTCCATTGTAACCGTCTGAAACAGCTTGGACTGTGGCAGCTCTTCCGAGAAGGGAGAAGGTGATGGAAGAAGGGAAGCAAATGACGATTTGAACTACTGTTTTGGAGAGTAAATTGGGCAGGAGATGTCCAAATAAATGATCTGTGACTGAGATAGTTAAGGAAGGAATGTGGAGCAAATGGTGAATCAGAAAATGTGATAAGAAAAGAGAAATCGGAAGCGGTGAGAAGAAGAAGATGGAGATAGAATGAAAATGAGTAGGATGAAGAAGGATTATCCTGATGGATTCTCTAAAAATCTCGGCTGTGTTCATGAGATAGATGGACTCAAGAACTTGTGCTGTTCTTCTTGGCATCGTGTGAAAGAGCAAGAACATAGACGACTGAGAGTGGATGTGAGAATTTATATAAATGAGTCTTTTGAGGGGTAGTATCGGGGTTGCCGTTTGCTTGCGTGCCAATTTATCATGATTGAGTAGGTTTGTAGGTCGGTCATATCGCACTCACAAAAAGCTATGAAAATTGGTTTTGGCTCTTATGGTAATTCTCTTAACTGCTTTTAATTATAAGGATGTGGGAAACAGAGCGGGGGGTTTGATGTTTTCTGAAGAGACCTAATCTGCTGCTTCCAGGATCATTGAAAGTTGCACTGGCCCTGCTGCAGATTATGGAACTTTGCTTTTGTATTTGCTGATATATAGTCTCCAAAAACTATGATTGGTAAATTTCTGTTGTTTTCGAGCTCTGAAAGGACCTCCTATATCGTTTGGCTGGTGGTTGTCTAGTAAATTATTGCTTTGGTCTTCAGTAGATAGGGAGCAAGAAAGAAATTTGTTGTGGGGTCAAAGAGAGCGGTTAAGGCGATTAGGAAGACTTCATAATTTTGCCTTGTTGTAATGAGCTTCTGTAATGATGTAGGAAAGAGCTCATGTCTGAACTACATAGAAAAGGGGAAGGAAAATTAATGTGAAGTTGGGATTTAAGTTTTATCAACTTGAAAGCAAAGGCAATTAGACATGTGAGCGTGGGCCAATGGAGGACAAAAGCTAAATGATTAAATGTCAAATGTTCAATGGAAATTATATGCTGTATCAGAAAATGGTAATTGTAGAAGAATACAACCCCAAGAAAAACAAAAGAGGGGAAGTCATAAGAAAGAAAGAAAGAAAGAAAAGCCATATCCCTCACTACATGTTTGCTGCCTGATAGAGCTTGAAACTAACCTTACTACTATTCCAATTTGTTCAAAATTCATCAGGAAACAGCTCCTCCTTGAGTGAAGGAGCTATCCATTGTATCTGAATGTAGGTAATTTCGCATAGATCATCACCATCCTTGGGCACTAAAATCTCTTTCTCTTGCATTTTTCTGATCATCTTCCTCAACAAGTCTGGCACAGCTTCTTGCAAATTTGTTTCACCATATTCTCCCAAGTCAGCTTTCATACATGTATCCATTCGTCTGAGAATGCCTAACCAGAATGTCCTAAACCCTGGATTCTCTGCAATCACTTTTAGGTATTGTAAGTACACATCTGTCAACAGCTCCATTGAAATCTTAAGAGTCCCTTCCATACTTCTCATCTCCCTCTCTGCATTTTCACGCCTCGAATATTCAATCATCTTTTCATGCTGATCATCAACCATTGCAAATATGACAAGGTTAAAGCAGTTGATACAACTGGTCGACGAAAATTCCAGTTCTTCAGCCAATTCAAAGCCTCTCTTAAGAGCTGCAACTGCATGGTTTCTTATGTCTTCTCGCCGTGCTAAGCTGCTCTTTCTAAGGGCTTCCCCTAGTTTGATAAATAAATTAACGGTAAAGTTACTAGACCCTATGGCTTTTGAGTTATCCTCCAATGAAGAAGTACTAGTATTGCTTGCAACACTATAACTACTTCCTGGATCCGAGTGAGCAGTTTTATACCATTGGATTAGCAAATTCACTGAATCTGACATTAGATCAAGGATCTTCAAGTTCTTCTCAACAGGACTGTTCCTAAGGGCAATAAAACCAAATGCACAATCAATACAGAAGGCATAATTTATCCGTGATATATGGAAGGCATCAGACATCAACATGATGAAAGTCTCCACTGCCTGATCATAGGTTTCTGGGTGTCGTCCTGCGACTTGCAGCAAATGAAGTGTTGATTTCCATCCCAGTTGAGTCTGCAAATTTGCTGGGTATTCTATGAGAATCTTGCTCACTGACTGCATTATGTACTCACAACACACGTCAAGAACTTCTTTATCTAACATCAAATTTATGGACTTAAAAATGAGCTCCTCTGGAATTTTATCTACTTGGTATGAAGCTAGAAGCTTGAGACAGACTTTGAAAAGGCCTACAATGGCTTTTTCTGCAAATGGGATTGGGGAAAATAGAGGAAGTTGAGCGACTGCTAGCAAATAATCATGGAAAGAAGGCCAATACACCTGGAACCTGTGAATGTTGGATAAAGAAATGGCGATAATCAAATCCCAACAGAAGCCAGCAGTTTCTTCTTCTTCAATTGGTGTGCTAAACTTTTGGCCTTTACCAGCAGCTGCAAATATCAGAGAACGCCCAAGATTCAGCAATGCCTCAATAGGCAAGTTAGAACTGTTGCCAAATATACTCCCGATTCGGCACTGTTTGATAATCTTCAGGTTCTGTTCTAATTCACTCATGCCCAGAGATATAGACTCTTCCATGCTATCTATTGATAGAAAATGAGAGAATCGACTAACCATGCCAGAAGCCTGGCGCTTGGAGAATTTAGGATCATGATTAGGAAAAATTACTCCAGACTCAGACTTGAAGGCTTCTGTGGCATCAGATGATGAAGCGGACGCAACATCAAATTCAATCACAGATTGGGGAAGTAGCTTAAGCCTTTTGAGTTTCAAGAGGCAGTCTACAATGTTCCTCCAACCCCCTCGAAGTGACTCTCCAAAGTTGTTTGCTATGGTAAAAACTGCAAGAGTAGCCATTCTTGGCTTCATATCATTGCTGAATGCAAACAAGGTTTCTTCTGCAGAAGCATAAGGATTTAAAAGTGTTGTAAATCTGCAGAACGAGGCAACCAGCTCATCCAGCGTGTCTGCCAGTCCATACTGAGCTATCGTCGCTACAGAAATCAGGCCTTCAATGCATTCATGGAGAATTTCATCTTCATCAGCATGCTCAAAGAATGCAGAAAGAGTTGCAATTGTTGGGCCAGCAACACAAGCAAACATATCTCTACCCAGGCGACGATCAAAATCACAGAGGACATATGATTGCATTAATTTGGCTCGGTTCATCAACTCAACCCATCTGCTTGGGTTCATTTCCACTTCGCCAGATTGACCAAAAAGCGTGATTGCATGGTTTGAGATGGAGTGAAAAAGCTCGGAGAGGTATTCTCTAGGGAGATCCAGCCCTCCATTAATTAATCTATTATTCCTTATGAACTCTTCCTCTGTCATCTTTTTCTTGACTTGTGGATTGTGTTGATCGGTATTGAGCATAATGAGAGAATAGCAAAGAACGAACACCGAATCCTTAGCCACAAACATATCCGAGGATTGCTGATCAAAAAATCTCTCAGAGAAAACTTCTAGGATTCTCTGAATTTTCTGGGACTCTCCTGGGAGCCGGAATGTCTCAAGGTAAGTTCGAAGAGCAGAATCAAGAATCATGCCTGTAAATTCAAAGGCTCCTGTGAATTCTTGAAGAACTTCAAGGTGGAAGTCATCAGGGTCCCCAAGATATTCCCCTATCATGTTCTTGTCCAGCCCCGGAGTGAAACGAAAGAAGAAAGCAAAAGCTTTGGGATTTGGAGGATCAGACACCAACTGACAATGTTTCAAGTACTCCAAGCCTTTGTTGTCATCTCGATTATAATGGTTCCCAGCAATCAATATCTTCTTCTTTTGTGCTTTCCTTACCCTTACATGCTCCACCCAAGTTTCTAAATCTTCTTTTGGTTTATCTACCCAAAAGGGTCTATACTGGGTAATTTCGACCGGGTATGGCTCTGAGGTGCTTGAATCATCTTCTTTGTCAATGTTATCAGAAATGTTGTGAATCATGATAACCAGTCCTTCAAAGGCTTGGACTTGCAAAGTTGTCATAGGACCAGTCCCTGGAAAGGCGTGCTTGCACAACAATTTCACTACCTCCTCAAATACATTTCGGCAAATGGGGTCACAATCATAGTTTACGTAAGCTTCAATTACAAACGTTGGTTGCCTGAAGAAATTTATAATTCCTTCCAGTGCCACCTCCTGAAGTTGCAAAGAAGCTCCTAGAGCTGCAACTTTCAACAACACTTGCGAGAAGAAAGCCTCTAGTTGAAGGCGTATGAACCTGAAAAAGGCAAAATAACAACTTGATTCCAGTTTCATTGCTTTTGATGACAAAAAAAAAATCAGTTCAGAATTCTGATTTAAATCCCTTTAAATCAAACCTGCGAAGGAAGTGATAGATATTCAAGACAGTACTGCAAATCATGGAAAGCACAAGTGGGCTGGAACAAGTCCCATAATGGATCAAATGGTGAAATAAATCATCCTGGATCATCCTCAAAAGCTTTGGATGCTTTCCAATTCCATCACCACTCAATTCTATAGCACAATTAATCAAAACCAGTGCGAAAAGTTGAACATCTTCATCAGCCGTATGCCATGTTGAACCGTCGTTCTCCACAACTTCCACCACATTCAGCAAAGAACATAAAAACTGAAAAATATCAACCGCACAACGAGTTCCATACCCTGGATTTTCGTCTATGTCTTCAGTTTCAGATTCCGAATTCTCCCCTTCGTTATCCCCAGCTTCAGGTAATCGCGAAAAGATGATCTGAATCAACTCATGCATTGTATACCGCGCGCTGCGTTGAAGCAAATCTCCTCTGGTTACAGATTGTTGAACAACCTGAAAACAAGTATTGACAATAGTACAAACCGCCTGATCCGTGAGCAAAACTGAAGCATCATGTCTCATGATCCCTGTCAAAACCTGTAAAATCTTCATCATGACAGCATCCTCAGAAACCGCGTCTGTTTTCTCCAGGCGACAGCTTGTGATCCCTGAAACAACAAAATTTACTGCTTCTTTTGCACCAGGGGTTTTCTCATCGAATATTTCGAGTTTAAGAATCTTCAAAATTGCCGACAGGGCCACTCCCGTGGCCGCAGCTGGAATGTCATCACTTTGTATAACATCAAGGAATGGGGAGAGATATATACAAGGATCAGTGGTTCGCCATTCTTGATGGGGATTGAAAATGAGACCCCGCAAGGATTTTAAGGATTGTTGAATTGAAGAGTCATAATGCTCTTCCTGGGGAGAGATGAATTGAGCGGTGGGGTCTATGGGCCGCCTGATCACGGCTAGGACGGCCCCTACCTCGGTGTTCAACATGCAAGACAGTCCTAGCTCTTTCCTTTTGGATTTGCCCGTGTCTTTCTTCTTCTCACCGCATGACGGGCACCTGTTTTGTTCTTCTTCCATTTTTTGGTTTAAACCGAGTTCAAGAAACGGTTAGGAACGGAAGTTTTAGATCGTGCAATGACCATTTGTTTCTTTTTTTTTTTTTTTGAATATCAGTGTGGAAATGGAGTGTTTTGTCTTGTGATTACTGAGAAAAGTGAGTGGCATGGAACGTGGAAGAAAGAAGTCAATTCATCCGAAAAAGTTTGGAAGAAAGGTAGCCGGATTGTTTGCTAAACTAGAGGTTAATGTAAATACTTTGTTAATCAAGAGCATTAGTAAATTTGTATGGTTAAGGGTAAATATTTGAAGACTTCCACCACTAATATCTCCTTGTTTTGTTCAATTCTATTGGCTAAAAATTGGTTTCAGAAATGATCAAACAGTTTTGAGTTAGAACTCACGCATTGCCCCCAGTACCTATGTCTGTGGAAGTAGCTAAAAAATTGGTTTGTTTTTTACATCTCATGTCTCCCTCTCTATTCTTTGTTTTTTCTCCCTCAGAGTGTAAAACTTTGATCCCTCTCTCATCATATTCTGCAGTATCTATGGAATCATTTCCAACCCTCCCCTCAAGAGACGGTAACAAAGGGGATGCAAAATGGACAGCTTTCTCCACCAACTAGACGATTCTCCCTCCGAGCTTTCACTGATTAACAACCCCTCGATGAAAAATTACAAAATCAACTACTATCAGCCCTGCCCCAGAAGATTGAAAACCCAATCCTAGAAAATGGTTAGTAGAGTCTATTTTCCATCTTCGAGCTTACTTCTCAATTTTCATGGCTAATAACGTTCTGATAAAGATAAATTAAATATTAGCTTCAACACGTCCATTTGGGATAGTATAGTAGGGAACAAAAAAATTAAATTATCGAGATTTTAGATTTCATTCCACTGTATAACAATAAAAAGGGAGAATTTATAGTATTTTTTTTATTTAATTTTATTGAGAATCTGACTCTAAATTCGTGTATAATAATTCTGCTATTTAGAGAGAATATTTAATACTCCTTTTAAAAAAAATTATATTGATGTCATCATGCCAAGGTCCATAGCTCTTTATTTAAAAAAAAAAAAATTTACTACATTGACAATGACTCATTAATTTGATGGATAAAACTTTATGAAAATTTTTTTAAAAAATTAAAAATAATGAAAATTTTCTTAGTAAATGATTACTCAATTTAACATTTGGACATATGATCAAAAGTCGGTGTAACACAAACTCACTTATTGAAATATTATTATATAATTAAAGTAAATATAGTAAACTAAATCCATTCAGAATACGGCAAAAACATTTTTGGCTGAATTTCCTGCAATTTGTTTGCATATTTTTGTAAACAATGCATCAACTTTCAACTAGAATTGACATGGCGAATTGAAGCCTAATTCCATTGGGCAATTCTATCCGTTCATGAAGGAAAATAGATCATCATCAACTAGATTAGATAACAAGGCATACGCCTTGTGGTTCTGGTCGGGACCTGTAACGGTTCCTTCTCAAAGATAACCCAATCAAACGGCCCAGACAGAGAAAAACGAAGCCAACTAGCCCAAATCCAAAAACTGCATACACAGTAAATGAACGTATCTTTCCATTTCTGGGAAAAGAAAATTGATATAAAATTACAAAAAAAAAAAAAGGATTTTTTGACGATACAATTTTTCAATTAAATGCTTTCGCTTTTAGTTGAAGGCTCTATATGAATTTTTTAGTTCATGCCACAAGCAAAACAAGGTATCATAAGCATCACCCTCATCCAAGTTATGATTACCAACCTGCGAGACATTTACTAGGGTCTTCAACCACTCTTCATGGAGAGTTGAGAATTCTGATCTCTGTTCACTTGCCCTAAAACTTTCCCCAACGGATCTTTTCATTACTTGTCCAGCCCCTGACGCAGCGTCCACTACATGTTCCGGAATCCCAGCCATGATTGCAACTTGCAAACCATAGCTCTCTGGGCATGGTCCATCGGTAAGCCGATATAGGAAAACCAGCTCCTGCTCACCTTCAGAACAGCGTTCAGACTTCAATTTTAAGGAGCAGGCCATGTGTTGCAGTGTAACGTGTGGATGAGATGCAAACTCCTTAGTGAGGGGATGGTAGTGTGTTGCAAATAGTAGCCGACAGTGAACCTTTTCAACAAGATGGCGGAACACCTAGACAACATCAACAGTAGGTTGTTTAAAAGGGGTATGCATACTCAAGCTTTAAACTTCGTAACTAGAAATGGCAGACAAAATGCATTTTCAAAAAAAAAAATAGTTAATAACAAGAAGTAAGCACTTCTTATTAGCCTTCAAGATTATTGCAAAGGAATTGCCTCAGTTCCATCTGGCTAAGATGTTGCCTCTAAAGCTATCAATTAATATTCCTCTACACTATGTGCGTGAGCAAAATTTCATGTCCCAAAGATTTGCAACATCATAAATAAAATAGTGAAACTACTTGTTCCTGCCTTTCACAATCATGCATCATCATAAGGGGGCACTATTTTTTTTACACGGCTAAGCACAAGCAACAATGCAATATTTATTATCACCATCACTTAGAGCCCAAAAATATTAAAGCTTTCCTAGTTATATCATATGCTTTTATTTATGCAAGTGTCAGTATGTGACCATATGGCTGATCTCGTGTAGAACATAAAAGAAAGAAATATCTCGACTAGAATCATTGCTGTGTCTGGGTATAGTTTAAATGGGATGAGAAAATTTCATTCTAAGGGTCCAAGATGGCACGGTAATGCTCCTAACAGGTGCAAGAGGAGGTAAAGTTGTATTAGACTAGTAAAGAAATCTCACTGCATATGCAATAGCATATCCATCAAAAGTGCTTGTTCCTCGACCCAGTTCATCAAGAAGAACGAGAGAATCTTGGGTGGCATTTTGAAGAACTGATGCTGTTTCGGTGCACTCCACGAGGAAGGTACCTACAAAAGTTGGTTGCAAATCAAACTCTATAACTGAAAAAGTACATGCAGTACATACTCGTATGTACGGGTATCCGCACATTGAGGAACATGCTTGTAACTGTTTGAGCAATCCTGACATTAACTTATGTTGAATTAATAGAGATATTCAGCAATGGAACTATTTATTAACCACAGTTTGGAAAGACAAATTTACAAGTTTGAAAATTCCAACAGTTAACTATATAAGAATCAAACAAGTCCACAACTTCCAGCTCCCACTTCAGTTTGAAAAACTATGCCTTCATGAACCAAGCATATTAATTAGGAAGACAAAGCCAACTTTGGACCACAAGAAAGTCAATGAACTCAACTAACTGTTGGTTTTTAATGTAAACTTACTCTCGCCAGTCATGATTCGATCAGTAGCACCAAGCCTCGTAAAGATTATGTCCACAAGCGAGAGAACACATGTCTCGCAGGGTACATAACTGCCCAGCTGCATATCAAAACATTAACATGTATGAAATATAGTGGCAGTGGGAAAGACTAATATAAAAACGTACTTATCACCAGCAACCTATGAAAGCAAGTATTTAATACCAGCTCTTACGGACCAAAGAGAAACAAACCTGGGCCAGTATAACAGCCAGACAAGTAGCGCGTAAGAGAGTCGATTTTCCACCCATATTTGGTCCAGTCAATAGCAAAGCACGGGGATGATAGGCATTTGCGTCCTCACCCAGGAAAATGTCATTTGGGACAGGCAGTCCCCCATTCTCCCCAAGGGCAAATGGATGCCAAAGCCCTTTAATTTTAAGTATTGGTCCTCCTGTTTCTTGGTTCAAAGTTACAGTTTTTGATTGAGGCAACACAAGAGGCCTTGCCATAGCCCCGAATGAAAGACTTGCAGTTACTGCAAAAGATCTTAGTACATCAATGCAGTTTAGCGCATGAATGACTTGAGACCATTGAGCGGCTTTTTCGATAAATAATTCAATCAGTATAGAAAGCGTTTCAGCATCCGTATCTGTTAAATCCTGGTTCTGGTAGAGATAATGTCAGTTATGTACCCAGGGCACAAAAACAAGAATCTAAAATCATTGCTGAAATCAAATCTGTTTACTAGAAAAAATGTCCTGTGACTTGAGACTTTTCTTTGGCAATAAATTTACCACCCAAACAGTTTTAATAGCTACATGTCATGCCACCTGGCCAGAAAATGACACGTCATTCAACCTGTTCAATTGTTCACATGAGTTAACAGTGCGTGTTGGTAACACTCCATTTCCGTGAGGATTTTATCTTGATATGGAAACTCTCAAAAAGATGAAATTCTGATTTGGAACAAATAAAATGTTTGATCCTAACATGAGCAATGTCCAAAGGTTAGATCCTGATTTGAGCAATTAGCCTTTGGTCAGCTAGCACTGCCCACATGAACAGATAAAGGTCGGCCTTTTTCACCATTAATAATCCTATTATACCTTGTATCTATTCGGAATTTAATATTCCTTTTTAAAAAAAAAAAAAAAGCAACATCTAATTCCCAAAATATAAAATGCAGATTGCCAAGACAAATATAAGCCAATAGCAACTTATTTGGCCAAAGCAGTGCCTTCCCTAAGAGGTTAAGAGTCCAAGAAAAATAAAAACTAAAAGGATAGTGAAAGCTTAATAAAAAGTACTTTCTCAGAGTAATACGTAACAAGAAAACAGACCTGGTAATTTGGGAAGTCACTATCTATGGCTGCTTCAAATTGACTAAGGAATTCATCAAGCCCATTAGTGCCACTTAGCATTGGAAGCGTAAAAACTTTTGATAATAGAGATACCATATCTGCATCCTTTTGTAATAGTTTTAACAAATCCATTCCAATCCTGAGACCTTTGACAAGAGTCCCAAAAGCTTTCACCTGTACCACAGCAGAAAACATATCCATCAAGATCTTTAGAAATGAAGGAATGGAAAGTCCATGTCCAAAAGACCAGAAAAGCAACAAGTTAACTTAAGACCTCAACATCTTCCTTGTTTTACATGGAAGCCATCACTGAAAAGCAAAATAAAAGAGCACGAACTATTCTTGCAAAAAGTTTGAGGAATAGTTATTTGAGTCAACCATGCAACTATACAAATATTAACAATGAAGGAGATGCCTTCCTAAACATAGTTTTCCAGAACATGCAAACAGTATGAAACAATTAGCATTTACTTTCCAAGCTACTTCACCCAAACAAAGGTATAGGAGTACCACAAAAAGAAACGAAGAGAGTTACCCGTTGTTTCAATACTTTTTTTCCTATCATGGGAAGAACGAGAGAAGCTGATGATTGACTGCTAGCTTTAACACGTCCAATTAGCCTTTCTAAGTCTGGAAGTTTGCGAAGATATTGAGCAATGAGTAACATTTTTTCTGAATGTGACATTAATTCTTCAACCACATCTAGCCTGTTGTTAATGCAGTCAACATCTTTCAGTGGATGGCAAATCCAGCTCCTTAAAAGCCGCTTACCAGATGAGGTCACACAATAATCAAGATACTTGTACAATGTACCTGAAAATAGAATAATCTTATGGTTTACAAAAATGCCTGTCAGAAATTTTGCTTAAAGCTAAAGAGATTCACCACTTGCCTGAAGAACCACCATCGGCACTATTTCTGAATATCTCAAGATTTACTAGTGTCTGTCCATCAATTCTGAGGCAACCTTGGTAAACTTGGTAGGGTAAAATCTCTCCACTCCTTAAAATGTCATCCAGCTGCATGAAAGAGCAATTTATCAATAATATAACCAGATAGAAAATTGTGCATATTTACATGCTTACATAAATGCTCATCTGCAAGCCTACCATCAATCGTGATAGATGACTGACTAATCCACCAAGCGCACACAATGCAACATCATGGTGCATTACACCATCAAGAGCATTAATATATGAATTAAGTGACCCTTTAAAGTACCCATTTGACTGAATCATATTTCTAACTTCAGAAGCATCCAAAAACTCAGTGACTGAAAGTGCAGGACTCAGTTGAACTGCTGCAGATCCTACAAGATAAACCAAAATGAGTACCCAGTATGACTCACCATGATTAATATAGTTTTGTCAAGCATTTTCAGCTACCTGCTTCTTCAAGAATAGAGAAACTAAATGAAAATATGCAACAGCAAGGCTGATTTATGACATTTCAATTATAAAGTTGCAGATTGTCCAGAAAAGAGAGAGAGAGAGGGAGAAAGTAGGATGCTTTTTTATCATCATTATAATGCACATGGCTCATCAAACAAAAATTCAGCTTTATCATATGAACTGCTTTCTTGATTAAACCAATGGGTTACAAGCTTGAAAATCTAATAGGAAAACAGAAAAAACTTGTGAATCCAAGAATTACTCATTTCTGAGTCACAAAATACTAGCTCTTAGTGAAAAAAATACTCAAATAAAGATTGACATATATACATACATATATAGAGAGTCATATTGATTCTGCTAATCAGAAAGTTGATAGAATGCTCACCAGTAAATGAGTACTTTTTGAGTGCTTTATGGGCTTCTCTGGGCAGCCCTGAAATAATTGAATATATACTTCTAATTATGAGGCAAAACTTTTATCAAAACTAGCCTTCAAAATAAGCAAACAAGGGGAGTGAAATGAGAAAGTTCACCTGCACTTTCATATATGACTTCCTTAGGAGACACCTAAAATCAAATTCCAACCGGTACGTTAGAGCTTAATTTTCCAAAAATATAAAAAAAAAAATTGCAGGAAAATAGAAGAACCTACTTGCATCAATAGAGCTCCTAGAGCAGCACAAGAACTATCATCGCTGACGGAACCAACCCAAAATTTTAAAGCAGCACAATCAACAAAAGCAAACCCATAGACAGTTGAACCATTCTCCACTCCATAGTTGCCCTAAGAGCAAAAGCATTAAGCAATCATAATATATTCCAATAAATATTCAAATTATAAATTGTAAAGCAATAAATTCTAAAATGAAAAAGATAAACTGCAATAACTTATGAAAATCTACCACATCAACACAGGTAGAAAAAGTAGAAGCACACATGCATAAATACATATATATTCATTATGCATAGACTTGAGTTGACCCTCTGAATCTGACCATTCCACCTCCCCAACCCATAATTAAAAAAAAAAAAAACAAAATGAGGAATAGAGATAAAGATAAAGGAAAGATCAATTCAAGGAGTCAGAATGAAAACAAAGTAAAATACATTCATATACAGTGCAGAGAAGCTTCAAGAAAACAGCTGAAAACTCAAGCAAGAAAATATCTTATGAGAGATAAACCATATGTTCATTTAGCAGATTCCACCTTTCCAACCCATATCTACAACATTAAATAAAAAGAAAGAAAGAAGAGGAACAGAGATAAGAGAGGAAAGATCACTTCATGGAGTCAAAGAAGAACATAGTAAAATACATCCATATACAGTACAGATAAGCTTCAGGAAAACATCTGAAAATTCAAGCAAGAAAAAATGGTATGACAGATAAGCCAGAAATATTCATTCAGCAGACACCGCAAAAATAAAAATCTGAATGCATGAATATGAGCAAAACCAATGCAAACATAAACAAACCTCCTTTAGAGCAAGTAAATGAACAGCATCCGGCCCAATGTTACCATCAACTATTGTTGATGGTGTGATTACTTGAACTAATTTTCTTGGAATTACCTGAAAAATCCAATGTTGCTAGTCAAACTACTTAGACAATGACTGAACACATCCATAGTGTAGAGTTAAAATCATGAAACCACCAAGGAAAAATCAGCATAAGTAGCAGGATTTTTATTCAAGAATCATGTGCAGAGAACTTTGGTGGAGAATCCAATTTGATGAAACCATAAAATACCATAACTTTAGGTTACATACGATGTCAACATACATCAAGTCAAAGCATATTTTTGTAGTAGGGAAACTTCATAGTATTTGTCTTCGAAGCAAGACCGTACATGTGAGTTTTAATCATACGCAATAATCATGGCACATAAAGGGTGACATACAACAAATATATAAGAAAATTATTTAAATATACATCTCAAACATGCAACAAAAACTTACAGAATTTGCTCCCCTAGCTTTTGCTTGCTTAGATGTCTCTAACTGCTCCATACGTCCCACTTTGTATCTTCAGAAAGAACATTAAAATTGAATCACAATATGGTGAATTGAGGAAAGAGAGCCACAATCTAGTACTCAACATTGCACTCACATAAAAGATGACCAAGGACATCAATCATCATTCCTTTCTTCCACTTTCTATAGTCAACACCTCTCAATTTCTTTCTCCACATCCCAGAAAGATTAAAATACAAATTATCATTTCAGAGTTTACACAGTTTTTTATTTCAAAGGATTCTACAATATAGTATACACAGACAAGGAATGATGACAACCAAATCTCCTAATTGTTCTTTAAGACCAAGAAATTTGTTATCTTACCCACGAGCAACCAGCTTTTGAACAGCATCATCAATTCCACTTTCTGATATACCAACCTGACCATGAAGGAAGACACTATTACATCTGCACCGCTGCATTTATGTATATAAATATACATATATGTGTGTGTGTATTTATACACACACAAATATATATTACCAACACATGAATGAAAATTAAATGACAATCCACCTGGCGGCATTTGCCAACTCCGCTTACTGTCATTTTCCAATCAAGCTCCTTGTGGCCAATTTCAGCATCTATTTCATAGAGCTCATAGAATTTCCCCTGTTAGTGAACATTAAGTTCTTGAATTAGGTAAACCTGATTCACAAAAGAAATTTAAAATTCATAACATACATCAGCAAGCTTAACTCCAACTTATAGATACACAAAGGGAGAGCTTGCATAATGCAAAGAGGTTGAAGAATAGCAAATCTAAATGGTGATATTACTCACAACACCCAAATTAATATACACTTGTATATTCCCCTATACAAGTAATCCAGTTAAAGGTTCATTTCATATGTTCTAGCATGTGATCCACTCACCAGTGTTCCAAAATAAAGGATGCCAGCATGCATCCCTCTTACAGCCATTAAAAAAATATACACCTTACAAGAAAATTAATTGAGAAAAAGGCAATATGACTAGCATTTTATCCAATGCCTACAATTAGCTAATAAAAAAATGAAACAACAATGTGATGAAACAATAACTAACCACTTTAAAGAAGAGAACAACATCCATATATTGGCATTTGACACTCCAATATTGTTTTTGAGATGCTGACATTTTCTCGAGAGCATCCGGAGGTATATAGAGAGTCTTCTTGTCATAAAGGGGATCACCAGGCCTTCTTCTATTAGAATCCTTGATGCGAGAAGGATCAAGCCAATCAAATTTGCTAACAATATCAGCGACATCCTTATGATTCTTGTTCCCAACAATAGAGTCCTGGTGAAGCTTTACTCTTTTACCAGAATCCAACAAAGAACTATCCTTCCTATCCCCAAACTTAGGTAAGTCACCTTGAATTCGCTTAGACGAGAAACACCAGGCAAAGTAACAGGTGTTTCTGGCCTCAGATCATCATCACTCTCAATACTTAAAACATTGGCCAGTTCAGTTGGTTGAGCAGTTAATTCCACTTTAGGCAATTCTTCCACATTAGAAGAATTGTTACGTGCCCGGTTACTGCAAAGTTAACACAGATTATTAACAAAGGCTATCCTTTGATACTTGATAGTTAAAATTTTAAATTTAAATTTATAAATAAAATTGAATAATATTAGATTGGACTGCCAGTTTTCTTATCCTCCTCAATTCTTTCAAATATTAAAAAGCATGAAAAATTTTGCTTAAAGCAAAGAGAAATAAAAGAGATAAATTCCAGCTGTGGCCAATTATTAACAAAATTAAAAACCCTAGCGGTACGTCTAAATAGTTAATTTCAAAAAAAAAAAAAGAACAAATTAATTGAATACGCGTAAAATGAGTCGAAAAAATACCTCCGACTTGCATTTTCTTTGTCGTCAACCCTCACAAACTTGTGCATGATACAAGAAAACATAGAAGAAGAATCCCTGCTCTCGGTATTGGCCGCAAAGCTCGCTGGCAAGACCTTACGTGGCACCTTCTCCGGTGGAGTATCGGCGCCTGTGACTTCCAAAGACGAGCCACAAACGGCCGCATTTTGGTTCTGTTGCTTTGAAGGAAACTGAGAAGCTTCTTGGCCTTTTACCTTTCCGCCGATGCCGTCTTGGCTCGCCGGTGAAGGTTTTTGCAAGAACGAGAGTATCGATTTCTGGCGCTGCATTTTAGATTCTGAGAGAGAGGGAGCTTTGAAAGCGGTAAAGAAAATTAAGGGATACTTTAAGAAGCAAAAATTTGGCGCCAATTTTTGCCCCGTCAAGATCCTTTTAATCTCGAAAACTGAATTTATGGTGTTCTCTGCAGAAGATCTTGACCGTCAGAATTCTACTGCCCAGTCTGAAGCGTCCGATCAATTTCACCTTCAGCCACCTAAGAATCGCACTTGACGTCAGAAGACTCAAACAAATGAACGATCACACACACACGTCACCAACTCAATGAGATATTTTCCTTTCTGTTTTGGCTTTTTTGAGTTTTTCCTTGGCATAACGAGAATTACTTGTTTTATTATCCACGTCAGCAAAAGAAACAATAACAAATTGCCATTGTCATCAGGTCACAAAGTAAACTTGCGAAGAACCTTCCAGATACTATAAAACCACCAGAACTTTCCAGAGTCTCAGCCTTTTATATAAACTCCAATGTATCTGTGCAGATCCAGTGGTTTCGATTTTGTATGATCAAAGGTATTTCACATTGTCTTCAACAAATGCCAAGAGATATTGGTGGAGCGTGCGTACGGGACTGGGAGCCCGTGGTGCTAACACAAGTCGAAGCCCAAGGCTCAAGAGCTACGCGATCCGAAGGCAGTGAACCAGGCGCTGAGGTCGGGGCACCGGTCAGACGATCAAGAATTCGATGCTGGTTCGAACAAGAAAACCGCGGGGCCGGTGTTGAACCCGAGGAAGCTTGATGAAGGGACGGAACCGGCGGCTATAGACCGGGTCTCGGCTGACGTGAGGCAGGCGATAAAGAAGGCGCGGCTGAGAAAGAAGATGAGTCAAGCTGAGTTGGCTAAGCTGATTAACGAGCAACTAAGGTGGTTCAGGAGTACGAGAATGGGAAGGCGGTGCCGAACCAAGCCGTGCTGGCTAAGATGGAGAGGGTTCTTGTGGTGAAATTGAGGGGGAAGATCGGGAAGTAATGTGAGACAACGTATGTGTTTTGTGCTCTGAACATATATGTGTTTGTTTGTGGTTTGGATTTCAAAGATGGAAACCAAGTTGTACTAATCGTTGTGAAAGTGTAGAAAAGTGTTCAAAATCCAGTTCTCTTGTGTGAAATTTTCAGCTTTGATCTGTAAATTCGTGATGTTCCAGAAATTAACATACCCCTTGAAATCATAATTTCACCCGAAACAAATTAAATAAGAGGGACTATAAAATATTAAAAAACTATGAGAAGAAGAACTGAAACAGAAAAGACAAAATGAAAGCACAGGAAAAGACAAAAAAAAAGAGAAGTGGGGCATCGCAAACGTGCAAGGGGGAGGAGCAAAATGAGAATGAACTGTTCAGGAATAGTGTCAACTGTGTGCAAGTTCATTAGAGAAATTCAAAGTTTTTGACATTTTTAAAACCTAGGTATTTTAAGAACCACTTGATAAAGACTGGCATTATGGAATTACATTGCTAAAATCACAAACCAAGGCCACATGGTTGGCTGATTGCCCTGTGCATAACAAGGTAGTTCCCTGGGCTCTGCTGTTGAAGCCACTGTTTATTTTGTTGGAACTTCATCCTACTAAAACTACATTCCTGGTATATTTTAGTACTACAATGATTAGTTTTAGTGCCAGGGAGAAATCGCGAATGGGAGTCACAACGGACTTGATTTGGTGATACTGGTTAAGGGCTTCCAATCCACAATCCCTTCCGAAGCCGCTCATCTTGTATCCTCCGAAGGGGCAATCCACATCAAGCGCAGTGTAACAATTGATCCAGATGATGCCGGCGCGGATCGATCTCGAGACGGTGTTCGCCACGTTCAAGTCCTTGGTTATAATCCCAGCTGCCAGACCGTAAGTTGTGTTATTTGCCCTCTTGATTGCCTCTTCCATGGTTCTGAAGTGACCAACAAATTCAGTAATATGTTTCACTTAACAAACAGAAAGGAGAAGAGAAAATTAAAGACTTACTTAAACTTCATCAATGACATTACGGGTCCAAAAATTTCTTCTTTGGCTATGATCATGTCATCCTGTGTACAAGGTTTTGGGAGTCATAAGAATCTAAAACCAAAGGTCCAACAACATCATAGTTTTAAGGTTCTGCAGCAATTGTAACCAAGCCTACCTTAACATCTGCAAATATCGTGGGCTCGATGTAGTATCCCTTCTGGCCCACACGCTTACCCCCTGTTAGCAAAGTAGCTCCTTCTCTTTTGCCATGCTCAATGTAAGAGAGAATTTTCTCGAATTGCTTCTTATCAACCTATACCATATGAAGGCCAACAGTTGATCAATTAAAGGAAACTACATGCATACACAAATACATTTATGTGTTGCATCATAATTACTCTTACCTGTGGTCCTTGATGAACTCGAGGGTCAAAAGGGTCCCCGACTACCCATGACTTTGCCTTCTCTACCAACTTGTTCTCAAACTTTTCATATATGCCTTCTTGAACATAAACACGAGAACTTGCCACACAAATTTCTCCCTACAGATTTAGAAGATGAGAAGAGATAGCACAGCCACCAAATTAAGGTTGGATTGTAAAATTTTACTCCTCATAAAAAGCAAAAATAACTTACTTTGTTAAAAAACATGCCGCCGAAAACAATATTTACTGCCTCGTTAATATCAGCATCATCAAATATTAATAGAGGAGATTTGCCTCCCAACTCTAACGACACCGGTTTCAGATTGCTTGCTGCTGCTGCTGCCATTATCTTACGTCCAACTTCTGTAGACCCCGTAAAACTCACCTATAATAAGACCCAAACAAGGTGAGCTAATTTCTTCATCAACGTGGAAATTTCTTATCTTATACATGAAATTAAATCTCACTTTATCAATGTCCATATGAGCGCTAATGGCAGCTCCAGCAGTCTCTCCAAATCCATTTACAACATTGATCACTCCGTCAGGCATGCCAGCCTGATTAATTTGAACACAAACAAGAACAAAAAATAGCAAAGCCAAACAGAGAAGGGCACGTTAACCAACTATTTTAACTTTAATTTTTCTTTTCAGAAGAGTTCAAACTCAATTATTATGCAAGCTTACCAGCTTAGCAAGATGAGCATAGTAAAGAGCTGAAAGAGGAGTCTGCTCAGCTGGCTTGACAACCATGGTGCAACCTGCGGCTAATGCCGGGGCAACCTTCGTGAAAAACAAAATGGTGGGAAAATTCCAGGGAATTATATGTCCGACTACCCCTATGGGTTCCCTGAGAGTGTAGCCCTGAAGCCCCTTTGACAATTTTAAAACTGTCCCATGAATTTTATCGGCTGCACCTGCAAAGTAACGCAGAGTCCTTGCTGCACCTGGGACATCCAAGACCTGGCCATGAGCAAACAGCTTGCCCCCGTTAATGGTATCCAACGCGGCTATTTCTTCTATGTTTTCTTCAATTAAGTCTGCGAGCTTCATCATGATCCTTCCTCGCTCCTGATATCCATGAAAGGGAGAATAAAAAAAGATGGACAAATAAAGCAGCAAGAAAAGTGGCAATATCTAGCCTCTATTATTTAGCATATATATGTATTTTGATACGTAATTAATATATAAAATATTATGAACAACGTACATACATAACTTTATGTATTATATACGAGACTAAATATTACAAGTAAAAGTTAGAATTATAATTAAACAATTTTCATTATGTATGATAAATATAATCCATCCAAAAAATTAGACAAATCAAACAAAATCAGCATAATATTAAACTAAATTCGCATATAATAGAACTTGAATATGAACTTAAACCTTTGAAGAACTCTTCTTTTCTGATAAGATAAGAGAAACATCATAAAACTACATTATTAATGCATTATGGCATATTCATTTCAACTCTAAAGTTAGGATGAAAAAATAGATTATTTTATATCGACGCTTACTAAGTTCGGGAAAAGGACAAAAAAAAACTGATATTTCCATCTTGCATATCACATTTTACAGTGCAGGGGCTGGCCCTCTGCGGGTACAACTCCACATATATGTAGGTCCCTTTCTCAACTGTTTGTTCGTGTAAGACGAGATTGTCAGATGGTTAATTAATTGGTCAATAATGACCCTGCGTCACACTTCAATTATTCGCGGTGGCCTTTTTGTCCGGTACATCGTCGATTCGTGAGCCCCCGATTGCACGTGAAAGACGTACAGAACTCTGGATTCTGGAACGTGGCCATTTCGGGTTATCAGGTTGTCCACTCGTCTTTCAGGAATCCGGACGTGTTACGTTCAGAAAACAAATCAGGGCCTAGTTTTTTCATTCTCATTGAGAAAATAAATTCAAGTTGTTTTAGAGATCAGATTTGGAGTGTTTTCACTTTCAGAATAATAAGAACAAAAACCACAAAAAGAAAGAAAAAAAAAAGTTTGATGGAGATAGTCTATAACATCAAAAAAATTGACTTCCTGAAAATATCTTCTTTTGGTACATATCCAGAAAATAATCTTCTATCACAATTAAAATTGGTAAAAGCAGTTTCCAGCTAATTTTCCAAAAAGCTAAACCAAGATGGAGATAGTGTACAAGCAATATTCAACATTAATTAGTAAGAAAAAAAAATTTTAACTGTTGGACCACTAGCTTTAGTTAAACCGAACGAGTTGAATTAACCAACATTACTGACTACTGAGGCTAATTAGAGGATAGCATCATTGCAGAAAGGTTCGGAGGTGAGGAAGAAAAGAAAAGTAGTAATCATCACATACAAAGCCAGACAAGCGAGGCCAAGGGCCATGGTCAAATGCGTGACGTGCAGCCTTCACAGCCAAGTCAATGTCCTCTGTATCTCCTTCTGCAACTCTTGTTATCACCTCCCCTGTTCTTGGATCAACCGCCTCGAACGTTTTCCCTGGTGTAACAAATCGTCCTTTCATTATTCGTATTCAAAGATACAAAAACTTAAGAGCTCTTTGAAACTAC